GCCTGAGCGTGAGGAGCTTGGCGGTGCTGCGTCTGGGGGTGTGGCGCCTGAGGGTACTGCGACTTCTAGTGCGCGGTCTCCTTGGAGTGGCCGCCTTCGTCCACGTGTGCCTCTCACCTCGCAGCAGCTGCACGAGTGGTACGGTCGCCGTCAGGGTCGCGCTACTGGAGCTCGGGGCTCTGCCGCTGGAGGTGCTTCTGCTGACGTCCCTGGAGCTAGGAGTGGTGCTGGTACTTTGTCTACTGGAGGTGCTGGAGTCGCTGGTCCCGGAGGTGCTCGTACTGGAGGTACTGGAGCTGCTGGGGCTGGAAGTGCTGCTCGGGGTCGTTGCGGGCGAAGAACAGGTGCTTCTTGTACCAGCGCTCGCGTGTGCTGGTGTCGACCGGCGGAATGAGGTCGACGCCGTGAAACTGGCCGATCTGGTCGAGGATGAAGTGTAGCCACAGTCCGGTCTCGCCGACGGCGCACAACTCCGCTTCGAGGTGCCGCGCCGCGTAGCTCTGCTGAAGACGCGCATCCTTCGACGTCTTCGAGTTCCGCGCGGCGACCACCATGACGACCGGCTGGTTATCCGGGTTCACCGACGAGGTGCTCGCCAGTCGGTACAAGAAGATGTCGGGGAGCGTGATCTCGCGGATGCTTGCACCGCGCATGAGGCTGTGGTGGGAGAGCAGCGTGAGCACCTTGACGAGAAGAAACCTCCACAGCGTCTGCGAAGGAGTGGTGAAATGCGGGCTCCATGCCGACGCCGCCCAAGCCGGCAGCACCCTCGTCATGATCTGGCGGAACTGTTCGGCGGTGTATGTGTCGCCGATGGTGCCGCGTCGACGGTCGGCGCAATTACTGTCGACAGAACAACAAAGGGGTATGATTTTTAGGGCGAGGGGCACAAATCGATGGCGACATAACACGGCGCTGGATGCCAACTTACTTGATGTCCCTCTGGTTTTTGGTGCGGACCATGACCCGCACCTCCGACCGGACAACCGAGATTTCTCGCATGATGCCCAACTCCTTCTCCTTGTACAGCGTCGCTTCCACCCTCGCCGCCATCTGGCATGCCTTGATGCGGCCGAGGATCATGTGCACCGTGTAGGCCTGCATTGGCGCGTTCGTCTCGGCGTCGATCTTGAACTCCCGCCTCATGAACTTGATGTAGGCGCGCAGCCGCGTCACAGTGACCCGGGGGCCGTGCAGCCAGATGTGCTTCCGTTTGACCACCTTCGGGTTGTCCCAATCCTTGCTCTTGTTGCAGTGGATCCAGTGCCCGATCTCGTTGACGTGCCTCGTTCGTTCCTCAATCGGCAGCTTGTCGCCTATTTCTTTGAGCATCTTCGCCGCCCACCTCTTTGTAGTGGTAGATCCTTGACGTGTAGGACTGGAGCGTGCTCTTACCCTCTATGGTTTTCAGGTGGCGCAATGCCTCCATCACGAGCACGTCGACGCACGCGTACACCATATCTTCCTCTACGAAGTCGGCCGCCTTCCACTGTTCTCGAGGGACAGACGCGTTCAGCAGATCCTCTAGCTCGTCCTCGTCCAGAAGTTCCTCGATGAACGCACGTTCCCCCCTGAGCTTTTCTTCCAACGTGCGCGGACCTGTGCCACGTCGGGGCCGCGGGTCGTCTTCGTCGTCCTCGTCGCTCGCCCAGGAATAGTCTTCGATTCTCTCATCCTGGTCTCCCGATCCGTCCGGCACCGACGACGGCCCGGCCTCCCCTGCATTCGTCGGTGCCGACGTTTCTTTGCGTGATTTCGTGAACTCCCCTATGTGCTCGGGCGGAATGCCCTCGGTGAACTCTCCCTTCGGGATTTGGGCCAGGGCGTCGAGATCGTAAAGCAGGGGCAGCGTCGACGAGGGGTTACTGGTCGGTGTACGGTCTACCGGGCGGACATCACCACCGTGGTTAGCAGGGTTAGGAACGTCCGTCATGTCGACGTCGGCGGGTGGTGGGTTGGATTGCGGCGGTGTCGAGCGAGGCTATCCTCCGGCCATGATACGGCGACCTAGGGTCTGGAGATGGGAAGTCGGCGTGGTGAGGTCGATGAACTACAACATGCAGATTCTAAGTCGGCGGTATCTGACAGGTCGGCATCGCAGACAACACTAAGAGACGGCGGCCACCACGTCTGACTATTCTGACGACGCCGACGTTCCGCGTCCGGAAAAAAAACTAAATGCGAGCCGTCAAGGCAATGGGAAAAAAAAACTAAGTGCCAGCTAACGGATGGAACGCACAGAGAATGGCAGGCAGAATGAGCGACCTTCACTGGGACCACAGATTGGTATGGTCGTGAGCGACTCCGCTCCACTTGGCGCTCCACGCAAACCCCTGTGCAGGACGCCACTATGCATGTACGCTCGTGCGGCGGCGCCGTGACCGACGTGCCACCGGGCGTGCATGGCTGCTTGCTTGAAGCGCTTCGCTCATGATGCGCCTTTCATGGCTGTTACACGCTGGCTCTTTCGTGCGGTTCGTGGCGTGGTCCCAAGCTAGGTGGTCCCAGCGCGGTAGTTCGAGGGCGGGAGACACTGCCGCGTGGCACCACGATGAAGACCTTCTGGTCGACGCCGACATTCCCGCCAGTATCCACTGCACCTAGCCAGAGGTAGGGGATGGTCGGATTTCGCCTTGGGCATGTGGGCAACCGTTGGATGATGGCCGTGTGGTACGCACCGACCTGGCCACGCTTCGGCGCGAAATTTTCCCACGCGAAGCACCCGGACCTTCCGTTGGCCCGTCGTGGCCATCCTGGCAGACCTTGATGGCCCCGCCACCCAGGGGTCGATCTCGGACGTCCTTTTGCTTTTGGCCGCGTGGCGATCATCGCGGCCCGACGTGCCGAGCTGGGATGACGTCACGCGGCTGAGACGACCTTCTCGGGATTGTCTCAGCGGAACCCAAGGTCGACAGGTCGTCGACAATCCCGAAGGCTCACCAGCACTGGGCCCAGCCAGATCTCCTGGGCTTTCCACGCGGAGGTCGTCGTGGGGTCGTCAACCCCGAGGAGGGTCATTGTCCGTTCTAAGCCGCGAAAATGGGCGGCATTTTTCGTCCGCTGAGCTCTATTATGCTGTGAGCTTCAGTCAGCCTGTCGTATACGTGGCCATGGTTGGTGGTCTGGCGGGCTATAGTGTAAACATGATGCCTCTTTTGATGAAAGCTTTTTTTTGCTCGTCAATTTCGTGGTACTGGAACTAAGTGGTACTAATATATTCGCAGGCCTGCGTTTTGTCGAGGGTGGGGTTGCCCCCATTGTTCCTACAGATAGTGTCTGAGACTTTTCATTGAACAAAAATCACTATCGTGAGGCTTTACGGTGTTACGGAAGTCTTGAAACCTTGGCGACGCGCACCTTTGGGAATTTGAGACTCAGCAAATCCACGTGCAGGGAGTGTCATGTTTCGGCCCTTTTATGTGTTGTCGAGTCGACCGTCCAATTAATCGGGCTTTTACGGGCATCGCTCATGTTTAGGATTTAGGACCGTGTGCCACCTAGGCCAGACCACCCACCCACCCTCTTTCCCTTAGATGTAAGCTACAGTACGAGGCAGCAGTCAGACGGTGTCGTTACACACACGAACACGACGTGGTTTGGCGGACTGTAGCGTACAGTTCAAAAGCCTTAGCCGCGTCGCGCCTTCGGGAATCTGAACTCAAGCCGAGCTTCACATTCGCGACGGCGCTTCGAAGGTCATTACAAACCTACTCGTGTGAACCCCTTATTCTAATGATTGGTAAACTTTTAGGGCAACGAGGGCCACACCTCCCCGCCCCCGTTACCCACCTCCTCCTCCCTCCACGCGGAGACTGTCGCACTTAGTGGACCGGCTCGGTGGGAATCGGGACTGTGATCTATACTCTACTGTACCCGATCATCGATTTCAATGACTGAATGTGAATGTGAGTCTACTGTACTCGATTTCGTGCTCCACTCTCCCATCCCATCATGCCATGCCAGCTTGAACAACTTGTTGTCGACGCGAGTCGCGCCTTCAAGCTTGTCGAAGCTGGCAGCTTGGCCCAGCTGAAATCCCGAAACTCGCAGCTTGGTCCGATGCGCGCGGCCCGAAGCAGCACGAGGCGGCCCGCGACGCGATACTGCTGGAACGCCGAGCGGGAACGGAGTCCTATACCGCTTCGTCTGATTTTTTCGTTTAACCAGATTTTCACTTCAGAATTTCAGAGTTTAGGTCTTTAGCCCGGGCCCTTCCTCCGCTATACCAACAACATGGAGCGTGTCGCACCTCTCGTCCTTCTCTGTGAGCAACTCTTTCAAGCCCTTTCTCTTATATGGCTACCAGCCCTACTATGTCACATGCATTGTCTCTTTGCCGCATCATCATGATCTCGTGTCATCGCGCGACACTGCATGCCTTCCCGGCATCGTCAGCGTTGTAGCTTCTCGTATCCCCATCCTTGAGGGAGTTGACTTTTGAGTCGACTCAAAATTCAGCTCGCGTGGCACGCTGCGTCAGCGTTGTAGTTGCTCTTATCCCCATCCTTGAGGGATACTGTTTACGAGTGAAGCCTTTCTCTGCACTTACCGTTACCCTTAAAACCGTTTCCTGCACCTACTGTTACCCTTAAAACCGTTCTCTGCCCTAACAGTTACCCTTATCCCCATCCTCGCCCCATACGCTCCCTCCCCTCCTCTCTGCCCTCCCCACCCTTACCCTATAGCAGCTGGCAGCGGCGGCGGGAATATCAAGGAACCAGCAGTCCACCAGCGCTACCCCTTGGCTGGCGTGAACTCAATCATGAGGAATTGAAACTCTTCTCCCCCCACCTCCCCCATCCCCCCCCCCCCCCCCACACCAGCTCCCCTTCCTCTGCAGCAGCAACGGAGATATAAGGGGACCAACAGTGCCATGATGCCGTCAGCCTTGAGGTTCAAACTCTTCGCCCCCCACACTTTCCCTTCCCCAGCAACAGCAGCAGCAGCAGGGGCGGGGATATCAGGGCTTTTGGTGTTTCCCCGCCCCTAATTTTCCTCACATGGTGATGCTGATGATGCTCCCCGTCAGGTGCGGCGCTCTTCACGGTCACCGTGACTGCTTCGGCCTCAATCTCTCCACTATTCCTCGCACGCAGCGACAGTGCTTCATCTTCATCTTCATCCTCATCTGCTTCTGCGTCTGAGGCCTCGAGTCTGGTTGCCAAGCCCTTGGCACGAAAATTCAAGACTGTGGGTGAGTCTACTGCTGTGCTCTTTGCCCCTGTGCTGTGAGGTTTCCCTAAATTATGCTTTACCCTCACAAGGCTATATCAAAAGTGACCCTTTGATCCGACCTGAAAGTACACGTTTGGCCCAAGCTTGATTCATGCGCCCCTACACCTGCTGTTCCCGTTGCCAGAAAAATACGTGGCTAAGATGCGACCTACTGTGCTCAAGGGGAAAGTGATTGGCTGCAAAGGTGCCTCGGGAAAAATGGTCATGAAGGTCGTGAGGTGCGTAGTATTAGCTCCCGCTGCTGCTGTTGTGGTTCAGTGCTATCACTCACAACTCACAGGATTAGAATATTCTTGCATTCTTGAATGGCCTTGCAAAAATCATGCACCAGACCCAAGTGGTCCCAGCCCCCAACCCCAACCACCTCTAACGCCTCCCCCTACCTCCTCTCCCCTCCCCCCTCTCCCCCACCTCCTTCCCCTCCCACTCCTTTCCCAATCGCAAACAAACCACACCATCCTCGTCCCTCCGTCTCACGACCGTCTCCCTCTATTCCCTGCTGGCAGGTATTCAGCAACAAATTACCAATACTCCTTTACCGTCAACCTCATGAAGCTCCAAAATGGCGGAGCCTTACCTGCCTCCGTCGGTTACGCCACTGCCTGCACTGGTAGAACGAATGCCGATATGATATCTTGGCATAACCTCACGACTGACAAGCAAGGTCGCGCCAAGCGTTACAGCTTCCAAGGCTTTGCATTTTCCGGGGGGCCTCTGGCTGACGTTCATCGGTGCAGCTGCTGAGTTATGGCAGTTACTTTACGGCTGGTTACACGACGACAGGGGGGGCGACTGTATACGCACTCTGTGGGAAGATTAAGAAAGTGGTGTAATAATTGGCTAGCTTTGGCCTCTTTTGGATGGCGTATGTTAATGATCTTAGAGGGTGCAAAGCAAAGCGTTCGTGTTACCGTATAGCCCCGGAAATAAGCGCAGGCCTATAAAAGGTGCATGCGCTTGTATTTTGAGCAATGTGCTTATTGCCGATCCTCAATTATAAGCGCACCCCTTGGAAAATCTTGACTTATTACAAGCGCACCCTAATTGTAAAAAAATATATATATATATATATATATATATACGAGGGGTCTCTGCTGTCCAGCCCTACACACCTTTCAACCTGCCTAGTCTACCCTACGGCCTATTCTTCCTCCTCGTCCGATTCAGGCTCCGTGGAGTTGTTGCCCCAGAACCCATCTGCTTGGATGTCGTTGTCTACCTCCACCTCATGGGACAACTGGCCTCTCCGGTGTGCCATGACCAGTTTGTCTTCACTCCCGTCAAGGCGTTGCTGATGCCGCACATGAGGAAGGCTTTCTTGATGAGGTCGATGGGCACAGCCTTCCACGCCCGTGAAATCCACTTGAGCACCACCTCCGGAGGTGGTTTCTTGATGTTCCCAGCATCACACATAAGGGGGCGGGGAAAACATGAGTCCTTAAGTAGGAATACAAGTCCTTAACCAAGAATACCAGCAGGAGACGGGAGGACATGTCGCTCACCTGCCGGGGTCAGGATGTTCATGCCGTCCTGCTCAAACCAGTTCTGGTACTGCTGACGTACGCTTGCTTTGAAGCTCTTGTTGATTGACACATCGAGCGGCTGCAGGTCTGCCGTGCATCCCGCCGGGATGATCGCAGGCACGATGTTGAGCGCCGCGAATCTCGCCTTGACTTCGGGTGTCAGGTGACCACGGTAGGAGTCGAGCACCAGCATGGCGCTACGAATATGCAGGCCGAATTTCGGCTTCAGGAACGGCACCACGCCCACATCGAGCCACTCGATGACGCCCGCGGCCTCCATCCACCCGTTCGCTTGGCAGCCGACCACAACATCTGCACGCAGTAAACCAACAGGTTAGAACGACTCTGGTAATACCGTCAAAAACAAGAGCGACAGCATCTTGCCATTCAGGAAGTCACCCTTGGGGAGAGTTTTGCGCTTGAAAAACACCCACGGCTTCAGCTTCTCCCCCGTCGCCGTGCACGCAAGCATCACGGTGACTCTCTCCTTCTGGTACCCACCGCTGCGGATAGGCACCGACTTCACGCCCGTCTGCTCCACGGTGGTCGTCGCCGGCATCTCCAACCACAGTGGTGTCTGGTCGGCGTTGATGATGTAGCGGTTGTCAATGTCGTATTCATGCCGGGCGTCTCGAACGAACTGCCAGAACTCCTTGCACTGTTCCTCCACATCTGCGCACAGGGAGGGAAGGACACATAGTAAGCTGGATTAGTAAGGCGCACAGGAGTCAGGCAACAAAGCACAAAATCGTAATCGGATTTTCGTCGAATTCTACAGCAAACGAACCACTTACACTCCTGTGTTTTCTGCGCCACCTTTGTTTTCATTCGCATGCTGAGGTTCCACTGCTTGCGGAACTGCTCCGTCCACCGCTGACCGCCTTTCCACTTGACGTCAGGGAACAGCACCTTCATCACTTCTTTTGACCATTCTTGCAGCCGGCCGACCAAAACCGCAACTCCGCGGCGTCGCCGGTCGAGGAGTTGCGCGTACACCTTCAGCTCCATAGGTCGGTACCAAGACGACCTCCCGCGGCCATGAAGTCGCATCCGTGCGCCGTGTACAGCCTTGAGCGCATCCGCTTGGTTCTTCCACTCTGTCAGGCATTTTCGGTGTATGCCGGACTCCAGCGCCACTTCGCTAACCGACGCCGCAAGCTCGAGCCACACGAGCCACCTCAATTTCTCCTGGGAGGTGTAGGACTGCCGCTTATGTTGCGTCGGCTTGTGCCCGGGGGAGGGGGGGCGGGCATCTCGGTTCTCGGAAAACGGGTGGGGAAGTTTTTTGTTAATGGGCGGATACGTCGGTATCTGCATCTTCTCACATGGTGCGTCGTGCCACCAGGACTCCACACCGTCATCGTCCTCGGCAGTTGTGTCACGGTATGGGAACACGTCGTCCTCGTCGCCCGCTGCACCGTCGCCTCCAGCTTCGCTGGCGCCGCTGTCATGTTTGTTGGCGGCCACATCATCGTCGGCGCCCACAGTCGACTCATCCCACGCGCAGGCTTCTGGTTGTCCCCACCGTGGTGCAGGCGCTGGAGCTTGGATGCACGCATCAGCCAACCATTCGTCGAACGTCGCTGGTAAATACAGCTGGAGCACGGGCCGTTGGTGAGCACCTGCCGTAACAGAATCAGGCGGATTCGGAGGAGCGGGAGGTGCGGGAGGAGCAGGAGGAGTAGGTGGAGAAGGAGGCGTAGGAGGAGCAGGAGGAGCAGGCGGTTTAGGGGGATCCGGTGGCACTGGAGGCGGTGGGGGCTCACGGGTATACCACCCGTCCTCGGTAAGTCGCCATGTGCGGCGTGGTTTTTTCTTGAAGAGGATGCGAGTCCCACTGAATTCCGCCATGGCTTCGCCTGCCATGCGGGCTAGACCGGAAACTGAATGAAAAAAATGAAGACGAGGGTGCAGAAATGGGCAACAACGGGGACCCCTGCTGGTTGGCGGCTGGGGTCCTCGCCGATGACAGGCAGGAAACCCCCGCCTACTCCCGTAGAGGAACCTGCGTGGCAGCATATACGCGGCGCTGGCAGGGAATCTTGCCCACCCTTCAAGATGGTTCTGCCCGAATGCACATGCCACGCAGCGCATGCGGCTGTGATTGGGCCGCACGGCAACATCCTCGTCACGGCTGTCACGTTCGATGGTTCCAGACAACTTTGTGCGGTGGGAAACCGAACCGCAGCTTTTTCTGCCTGAAAACCATGCACGATCCCACTTGGTGCATGGTCGGTTGGATTCGCCTTATTGAGAGCTTCACTTTGGTATGTTATAAAGTGAATTTCATTTTTTCCCTTATACAAGCGCATGCGCTTATAAATCTGACTCAATTATAAAAGCCCCCCCCCCCCCCCCCCCCCCCCCCCAAAACCATGTTTTATTATAAGCGCAGGTGCGCTTATATCCGGGGTATTACGGTAGATTTGGAGTACGTATTCGAAATGCCCTTGTCAGTGTAGCAAGTGCTGTACCGGAATCTTGTGCATAAGGAGCTGAATCGTCTCGAATGGTCCACACATACCGTCATCGCCCGGATATAAGACATATATGTCTTATCTTATACACGGGCAAAAATGCTTGGGTTGTCTTGTATTTGGGATGGTTTAGGGTGTCTTATAAATGGACAAAGAACCGTTTAGAAGATACCCCCTCGTTATACAATTGCCCCTAACTCCTACACTTTCTTAACCCGTACACACAAATAGGTGTCTTATAATGAGGCTAGCCTGTTTATAAGAGACACCCGGATAATAGACAACCCCTGTCTACAATTCAACACTGTCTACTATCCCGGTGATAACGGTATATGGAGTTATCGAAGTTGGGTTCTGAAAAGTGTGATACGGTCAAACAAAAGGTGGCAAAGTGTTTAGATTGTACATGACATGGGATTGCTCCGCTCCAGGCCCCTAGATTCGTTTTGGGGCGTGCTGATTTATCATAGTGCACCCCTCTTTGTACTCTGGCTGTCAGAGTTGGCTCGATTTTTTTTGTCTGAAAGTTCAGACCAGGGTCGTCGCTAGCAGACGTTTTTTTGTCTGTTTGGCTTATAACCAGACATGTTTTTTTGCTTTAATCTGATGGGCCGGTCAGCATCAGACAAAACTTTTTTTTTTTGCCCGGGGGACCCATCTGATGCATCAGACACCCCTCAGATCCTAGGGACGACCCTGGTTCAAACTACACAAACATTCCTACGCTGATCTTACATACTACCCAAAATTCTGTCTGATATGAAAGCACCAATATGAAATTCTGTACCAACGCGACTGTGCAGTGCCGCGCTAGGGAAACTTTGGGTTCCCGCCCGTAATTGACGGTGTTAATGCTACACGCCGCCAGGCTGGCGAAAACCCCTGTATTACCGGTTTCAGAGTGCACCTCCGATACAAGTCTGAGGCTAAACCTACACTCCTAGCATTAGTCTGAGTTTCAGACAACTCATATAAGAAAAATCTGAAAAATCAGACAGGGTACATAATAAAAAATCTTGGAGTTCAGACTTTTGGAAACAAGTAGCTTAACGCTTCTTATTGTCAAACATTATATATGTTGTGTTTGTTTAGGCTACAGTGGGTTAGCCTATAGGGGGTACACAATTCTAGGGTTAGGTACTTGTACTGATTTCACTGCTAGTTCAATCATTCCTGTCTGTTGATTTCGACATGGTATCAGAGCAGGTCCTTCGCTAGGACCGTTCTTAGGGCCCACCGCTACCTACCTACCTACCTACCTACCGTGCGCCCTCGTGCGCCTACGCGCCCCAGTGCGCCTCCTACCTACCGCGCGCGCGCAGCCCGCCAGCCAATCGCGCGCGGCTCTTTTTTTTTATTATTATTTTTTAACCGCGCGCGACCCGCTAGCTGCCCGCGCGCGGCCGATTTCTTTTGAGCGCGACCGGCTAGCCGCCCGTGCGCCGCTCGCACCGCTATAGCGCAGCCCGCAGCGGCCCCGCCGGCCTGCACATTGCCGCCCGCCCGCTGCAGCGCCCGCCCGCTCGTCGCCCGCTGCAGCTGCCGCCCGCTCGTCGCCCGCTGCAGCTGCCGCCCGCTCGTCGCTCGCTGCTGCTGCCGCCCGCTCGTCGCCCGCTGCAGCGCCTGCCCGCTCGTCGCCCGCTGCAGCTGCCGCTCGCTCGTCGCCCGCTGCTGCTGCCGCCCGCTCGTCGCTCGCTGCAGCTGCCGCCCGCTCGTCGCTCGCTGCTGCTGCCGCCCGCTCGTC